TGAAAGCTCTCTTCCTTCTCAAGTTGAATCAACAGTACCTGAGTTACCTTCATTTGTTATAAAAGGATGTGTGTTGGGGAAAACATTTAGTGGAAAAACTACTGCTCTAAAGTCTCTAGAGAAAAGTAAAATTTCTTTCTTGTTTGTGTTTTCTTCCTTTATTGGATTTTATTTACAATGACTGTAGCTGCAAATGGCTATGTCTGTAGAAAACATACATGAGAATCTGCAAATATATTGGGAAATTCTGTCATCAAGAATTTTGTAATAAGGTGATCACATAATTTATTGTCCAAGTCAGACACTTTTAGGAGTAGAGAGTTATAAATTGGGACTGTCCCAGGGAAACCCGGATATATGAGCTTGCTATATAATTATGATGCACAGTATAAAGAGAAATAATGTCTTAAACTTTACTTAAACTTTCATCATAGATTTTACTTTACCAATAGATGAAGTAGGAAAGAAATAACTTGTCACAAATAGAAAAGAAATCATGACTTCCCTGGTGGTGCAGTGGTTAAGAATCCGCCTACCAATGCAGGGAACACGGGTTCGAGCCCTGGTCCGGGAAGGTCCCACGTGCTGTGGAGCAACCAAGCCCATGTGCCACAACTACTGAGCCTGCGCTCTGGAGCCTGTGAGCCACAACCACTGAGCCCGCGAGCCACAACTACTGAAGTCCACACGCCTAGAGCCCATGCTCTGCAACAAGAGAAGCCACTGCAATGAGAAGCCCGGGAACCACAAAGAAGCGTAGCCCCTGCTCGCCGCAACTAGAGAAAGCCCGCACGTAGCAACGAAGACCCTACACAGCCAAAAATAAATTAATTAATTAATTTTAAAAAAAGAAAGACAGGAAATCAACTTAAAATTATAAATGCTTTAATTCTTCACATTGATTGAGTTCTTTCCCTTTAATAAACTTTTGGCTTTTTATCTAGAAGTTCTTTCAGTTAGAAGTGAAATCATAGTTTTCCATCTATTTAATTAGTTTTTCTTCACTAATACTTACCTTTTACTGTTTTTACTGGAAAACTCAAATTTTTCACTGAGGCCAGTCTGTCTTGTAACAGTCCAAGGCAGAGAACAGTAAGTCATTATTGAGACGTTAAATAGACCTCTTTAAAAGGCAGCCTAACAAAAGCTCAGTGAGATGCCACTCCACAACCTGTAGGATGGGTATAATTTTTTAAAATTGGAAAAAGAGTGTTGGTGAGGATATAGAGAAGTTGGAACTCTCATACATTGCTGGTGAGAATGTAAAATGGTGTAGCCACTATGGAAAGTAGTTGGTGATTCCTCATTAAGTTAAATAAAACATTACCATATGACCCCAGCAATTCCACCACTGGTATATACCCAAAAGGACTGAAAAGAGGTGTTCAAAAAAAACCATATGCAGTAATGTTCATAGCAGCACTATTAATAATAGACAAAAGATGGAAACCATCCAAATGTTCATCACCTGCTGAACTGATAACAAGATGTGATATATCCATACAATGGAATATTATTCAGCCATAAAAGGAGTGAAGTACTCTATGTGCTATGGATAGACTTTGAAAACGTTATACTAAGTGAAAGAGTCGAACACAAAAGACCACATATTGTATGATTCCATGGATAAGAAACATCTAGAATGTACCAATCCATAGACAGAAAGCAAATTAGTTGTTGGCAAGGGTAGGGAGACAGGGAGTGACTGCTTAATGGATACAGGGTTTCCTTTGGGATAATGAAAATTTTCTGGAAAAAGGTAGTGGTGATGATTGGACAACATTGTAATGACCTAAATATCACCGAATTGCGTCTTTTAGAACGGTTAAAATGGTTCATTTTATGTTATGTGAATTTTACTGCCATAGTAAAAAAAGCAGCTTGATCCAAAAAACATTGCTGGGGCACCCTGAACAGTGTACTCTAAGGGTGAAGCCAGCACAGAAGAACAATGATGTCAATTTCCTATTTGAAAAGTTATTAATAAAATTGTCTTTTGTATTTTAGGCTTTCCTATTCAGGTACTTTCTATTGACACTCTCGTCCAAGAAGCGATCCAAGCATTTCACAACAATGAGAAGATCAGCGGAGCCCTTCAGAAAGCGGCCGAAGAAAAGGCTCTACCAGTTAAGCAAGAGAGTAGTAAAGAAAACCAGGCAAGTGAGAGTTTAGTTTTCTTTTCTTCACCTCGTACATTAGAGATTTCCAACTGGATGGCATCTAAAGAGATCCTCTAGACCAGAGGTTGTCAGACTTTTCTGTAAAGGTCCAGAGGGTAAATATTTTAAGTTTTATGGGCCCAGAAGCAATATCGAGGATATTACATAGGTACTTATATAACGAGAGAAAATTTCAACTCCCCTCTCCACTCCCCACATACACACACACACATCAGTTTGCCTAGGTGGGCCATCCAGGGTGGTGGGCTGGCTTTGTGCCCAGTTACCATCAGCTGGAGACCTTCTCCTGAGGAAGGAGCCACCAGCTGGTAAAGCTGGTAAAGGGGTGGAGGGGCCCAACTGTGAGGACTTGGAGAGGGGTGAGTGTTTTGGACAAGTTCACCACATCACCAGCTCTCAGAATGGAAGTCCACTCCCGAGAGCCTGACAGTGGCCAACGGCAAGTCCCCATCTTGTACATGCAGCCTGATGCCAGTCCTGGGCAGCAGCCAAGGAGGGTGCTGGAGAGGAGCAGACAGAGGGTGAGGGTGTAAAAACAGCCAGTTGATTTTGGTCCAGGGACCATAGTTTGCAGACCTCTGATCTAGACTAATAGATCTCAGTTTTGACGGGTGGCTGGTAGGGGAAGGTCTCTTGCGGTTTACCTGCATTACCGTTTCCGTCAGTGTTGCATCTTGCTACATTATTACATAAAGATACTAGGGCAGGAATTAGGAGAATGTGCCCCCCCCAGCCCCCGAGAATCATGGTGTGGTCCAACCTGCTCATTTTAAAGGGAGACAGTAGAGACCCTAAGCGTGAGTTGATTTGCTTGAGGTCAGAGGCTTGTTGACGGCTAGGCTGTGATTGGAATCCCAGATTCTAGATCCAGTACTCTTTTCCCTGCCTTATCCTGTTTCTGAAATTGAATAAATTAGCAGAGAATCTAATCCAGGTCATTTGCATAAGCTGCAAAATAAATATCGTTTAAACGTGATTCTGGAAAAAACTGGGAGAATTTTTCTTCACGGTGGGCTGCCTCTTCTCTGTTGTGGTACTCTGTATTCTAATCAATACAGTGATAGATAATGTACATGTTTTTCCTTTATTTCCCTTTTGGCTATGACTGACACCTCTAAGATTGTTCTTTCTAAGGTGGTTTTCCACAAACTCTACGTCGTTCTCAGCTCCCATTATACTCTCAAAATGGAAGTTGCTTTATTTTACATAGAAGTTGAAAGACAGATTATACCATGGGTTACTGTGTGTTTCTATAAGTACAATTATCAAATTTTGTTTGCTTCCAGAACTCGCTGAGCTCTTCTTAATATCATTAATGTTTTAGATAAAATAGTCTATGTTTTTAAACCCTACTTATAGACATAAAATTAAGAATGTTATTAAAATATGACAATGTTAAAATCTCTCCATGTGTGCTCGCATGTGTTTCCTCTCCAAAGGATCTGCAAAATGTATTTTCAGCTGAAGCATTACCAGAAACAGAAGATAAAAGCAGACTTAGTAAGTAAGATATCGAAACAAATCATCCATCATTTTCATGAGAGACAGATAGACAAACAGTAAGAGCACAAGGATGTGAGCACAAACCAGCTTTCAGGGAAAGAAAGGGGAGACGGGGAGGGATGCATGGCTGTCTACATGGTCACGCGACAGAGACAGCAAGATAAACCCAGACGTCCCTAACCACTGTCTACAACTGGGGATAAGAGATGACAATTTCAAAGGAATCTTCTCACACCCCTTCAAGTAGTTGCTCAGTTTTGCTGTGGTTTTGAAAACAGTCAGGCTAAATCATCGTCAGTCTTCCTGGCTTTGCAGGGAGACAGTAGTTTATGGTTTCTTCTCACACATGCAGCTGGGGGGAGTACTGCTGTGCTCTCTGCAAGCTGCTGCTTTGTTCACTGTGATGAGGAAGGCTGCGGCTCTGTCTCTTCCATCCACCTGAGCAGTGGTTCCTTAGATAAAGCTAAGTTTATTCCCAGCCTTCAGCAAAGGAAACAGAACCAAGCTTCCCAAACCCAATGAAAAGTTACCTCCCTTGGGATCTGGGCTTTAATCCTTCAGATCCTTGGTAGAACCATTGAAGGAAAACAATTTTAAATCTTAAATATCTTTTCTATTTGTGCTAGTAAGGCTTTGCCATATTCAATCGTTGCCTCATATTCTAGCATAAAATCGGTTCTTTCTGTGTCATCACCATTCTTGCTATCACCCTTGAACAATGTGCACATTTATTATGAGCAGGCAACTTCGTCAGAGCAGTCAAGTTTCCCATCCTTTAAAAGAACATAACCTGTCCCTTGTTTCAGTTATTTGTTTCTTACAAGATAATCTTAATTGATGTTTTAAACTATCATAAGTATATTTTGTGACATATTCTATTACAGAAGTCCAGTAAATTATAAACAGACTCTGAAAACTTATTTTTTCCACTGAATTTAACTAAAAAAACCCTCTGACTTCTAGAGTTTTCCACTTTCAGAAGTGTTTGTTACCTATAACTTGATAATCCAGGAAAGTAAAAACATAACAAATTAACATCGTAATGACTTCTCTTGAGATCTTGGCTTGTTTTCCACAAAGAGAACCCAAACTATGTTCAAGTATTTCTAATGATATTGTTCTGAGTGAGCCATACTGGAAGGAAATAGCAAACACCAAACCACACAGTGGCCGGGACTTAATGTTGTGGAATGAAGGTAAACGCCATGCTGTGCTGATGCTTTTACTTCTTTCCTCTGAGGGTCTCAGGCATAGCTGAATCCAATAACCCACATGTCCAAAGACATAGACGGTCAAATGTTGACATGGTTGTTAGCTGTAAATACCGGAGTATGTTCTTACCACTTTTTCTATTGCTAGGTACCAATACTAGAAAAACACCAAAAGCTAAAGAAGTCATAGCAAGTGATAGTTTCTCTGAAGTAAGTACTATAACCTAACTTTGGCTACTAGTGTATTGAAATGTGTTTTGACTCATAGCCTTTTCACAGCATTTTCATCTTCAAATGAAATGAAATAGCAATGTGCTCCTCTTTGGCTTAAAATAAATCTGATGGTGAAATTAGCTAAACCTGAATCTACTTGATATTTTTTATATTATTTGAATCTAAAGCAGTGGAAATTGCTTTCAGTTTTGCCAGGTAAGAAAGTAAACACATGCTTTTAAAAATTTTAGACTTATGCCAAATTTATATTTATGTATTTTTCTTTACCTCTTAATTTATGACTTTTATTTCCTTTCACAATTTCTTTACCTTTAAAGATTTTTTTTCCAGAATTTATCCTTAGACTTACTGTTGACTCTGCAGAATTTTTTATTAATCCCTGAAAAAAGGTTTACAACAATCTACAGGCTATTGCTTCTAATGCAAACTAATATTTCTATATATAGTATTGCTTTACTGTATATTGGAAACATTTTTGATCATCAAATAGAATGGTCAGATTAATCAAGTGGGATTTTATTAAATAAAATGAAAGTAAATAAATAAAAGTATATTTGATTACTTTTATTGTTTGTTTCATCAAGGAAACCAGTTTCATAATATTTTAGATTTCAAAACTGCTTAAAGATAGAAAAAGTTTTGGAAGAATATACAGCAACTTGTAAATGTGATGACCTATGGGGAGAGAAATGGGTTTAGAGAAAGTGATAAAGGGGGACTTATAATTTTTACTCTGTATATTTTAAATGTAAATTAGCAGAAAGACTAAGTATATTTTTATATTTACATTTATTGAGTTACAAATCCCCCAAATTCCATATTCAATTCAGTTCAAAGGGCATACTTTGTTCCATGCGTTGTTGTAAAGGGGGAGTGGGTATGTCAGTGAACAAAAGAGTCAGGGTTCCTGGACTTTATGGAGTTTACATTCTAAAAGATGGAAAGAGATAATAAACCATGAACACACAAATAAATGAATTATATGAACCATTAGATGGTGATGATGCCATCAAAAAAGAAAAAGGAGGGTAAGGAGATCACCTTGAGAGACTGATATTTAAGCAGATTGAAAGAATCACCCACTGGATCTGGGGAACCATTTCAGGCTGCCAGAACAGCTGGATGACAGTCTTGAAGCAGAAAGGTGGTTGGCCAGCAAGGTGGGGGAAGAGAAAGGATGAGGTTAGAGAGATGAGTGGAAAGGGAGAAGAATCAGGCCAGCCAGAGCCTTATAGGCAGTGATGAGGACATTGGCAGTAAAGGAGGAGCCTTTGCAGGGTTTTCAGTAGAGACAGAGTATCATTTGACTCATAAAATGTTCACTCTGGTGGCTGACTCTATTTCAGAATAGGCGCTAAGGGATGTTCCTGTGGATATGAAGTAGCTTAATTAGACTAGCCTTCCTACAGATAACAATATAAAGGCTGGACAAAATACAAAAGCTAATTATCTGAGGGCCTGAAGCAGGCAGCAAAAAAGCACACAGCAAAAACCAGGCAGAAAATATATGGGATTTGACCATTGACAGAAGAAAACTTCAGTGGGCAAAAGCCAGGCGTATGCAAGTTACCCGAGAGGACATCCCGCATCTGCGTGCCGTGAGTGGTTAGAACTTGAGAAGAAAGCCCTCATCTCTTTGATTTAAGATATTAGAGAGTGAAGTTTGAGGATGCCAGAGCAGCTGGTAATTAAGGAGGAAGATCTTGGAAAGGAGGGAGTCAGAGGAGGAGCCCCGAAATCTGCATCTACATTTTCTTAAACGCTTGACTGATTCCAAAATTGTGCTAAACGATCACAAGTGTCTTCACCAGAGAACACGACCACTTGATTTTTTTCCCTCCAAATATTTGGAATCTGACTTTTAAGTTAGCTGTCCCCTACCATTGTTTATTTTCACAGCTCACTGTGCGCGCTCAGCTTGGTGCAAAATCAGAAAAGTTGCTGAAGAAAGGAAAGAGCATATCTGATCCATTGCTAGTCAGCATCATGGTAAATGCTATTAAGTATGTATCACACTTTTCTCTTTTATATCTATTTAATATGTTCTTTATCAAATAGAGTTGTATAAAGAATAATACAGAAATATTTTTATGTTCAGCATCTAATGAATTTACCTAAGAAAACACAGCAAGATAAATTTTGTGATTTACATGTCTATATTTCAATCCCCCGCCCCACCCTTTACCAACCTTGACTTCATTCACCCAGATGTGAATTCAGGTTAAGTTCTATCCTGTGTGGGGAATGCAAGGAGGAATTAGATACTTGGGAAAGCCAAGGGATTTGGAGAAGAGAGACCCTAACGATGTGGTCACGGGCCAGTGTGTTTCCTCATTTTGTGTTTCCGGAGGAGGGAGTGACCCCTGCAACACAAAGGCTGGGCAGTGCAGGGTAGGAAGGCCATGAGAAAGTAGAGGTTGCACAGGCAAGGACTCACATATATGCATAGCACAGAGATGATGTGCAATAAGGGTAAAGAAAAAATTTAAGTAGGCTATAATATTGTAATTCCTCCTTTCTAAGGATAGAGGATTCTCCTCAGCCCTCCTTTACAATACAGAAAAGAGAGAAATTAAAAGAATCGATAGGTGCTCGGTTGATCCGTGCAATAAAGAAATGAGGCTGAACAGGCTGGAAAAAGGAATCAACAAGGCTCCTGTTGCAGGGTGTTGCAGAGCTTCGAGTGAGTGAGGGGTTTGGGGTAGCTCTGCTGCCTGAGAAACGTTAAGACCGAGAGATGTGAGAACAGGAGGTTTTGGAGAAGTTTTGCCAGGCATCTGGAATGGACTCCCCCTTTAGAGTTTTCTTAAGAGACCTCATTAAAGATTTAAGTTGCCTCTCAGTTGTGATGTATCTTGGACTGATTACTCTTTGAATGCAACACTGAAGAAACTGGGCTACAGTGATGCTATTCTCAAAGCTGCAAGGGATCTCATTCTAATAGTTGCCACATTTTTCAGTACTGGAATAAGCCATGGGAGTCCTTGTTCAAAGAAAATTGTATATGAAAAGCATCAGCTGTAAAGCAGATCTTAGCTATGGTTTCACTGAAGTTGGAGTGTCTACACCCCATCCCCAGAACTCCACTACCCTCCCACCACCACCACCACTACCGTCATCCCCTCTGCCCCTGAGGCACCATTAGAGAACTGTCATCAGTTTGACATCCTTTCATTTAGTCCAAATGCGTCCTTTTTCAGTGAGGAAAGGAAGGCACGTGGCAGCTCAGTTAGGCAATCCAGTCACGTATCTGGTTAGTGGCATAGCGAGAACCAAAGCCCAGGCCTCCTCACTCCCTGTTGTCTGGTGTCCTCACACTACAGCATGACAAGTGTGGCCCTGACCTTCTCCTCCCTCTGAAGTAGCTCCTGAGACTGGAGGTGGGAGAAGAGGTCCCTCAGACCTGGTAACGTGCTCAAGAAATTTCTCTCCTCTAGCTGAGGCCAATGAATCAACAAACTCATTCTGTGCAGAATGCTTACCACACTCTGGACAAATTATCAAAGCAAAATGCAGGCTTTCCTTTCTCTTCGTAGCCTAATAGGGGTAATAGGAACAGTGACTTGAAGGCAGCTGGATACTGTGGAAAGATCACTGGATTTGGGGTCACATGCAATTTTATGACTTTGAACAAGTAATAAAACCTCTCTGAACTTTGGTCTTCCCCCCTTCTTCCTTGCCACACTGATAGAAGGATCATGTACAGGCACCAAAGCAGACTTTCAAGCCTTTAGAAAGGGATTCTAATTGTTTAAATGAGTTTTAGCAGAGAGAGAAATGAAATCATAACTTTTTATCCAAAAATCAAAATCTTAATCTTACACCATTGAAGGGTTTTGGAAGAGCAAAGTTGAAGCTTTTTTCCAATTTAAAGAACTAAAATAATTCCTGGAGCACCTATTCTCTATAGAGGACGCTGCACTGAGTACAAAAACCAAAGAAATGACCTGTACCCTTTAGCAACTTATAATCTAACTGAGATAAAGAAGACTCACTTGAATTTTTCTGTCAAGAAATATAAGAGTTAAAAATTGTGTGGTGAAGTGAATGAGGGTCCAGAGGAGTTCAGATCGGGCTGTTATGACTCCATGCTGGATTGGGTGGGGTAGGAAGAAATTTCTAGGTTGGCGATGTGAGTATCCACCATATGCTACACTCTGTGCTGGGTTCTCAAAATGTGTCCTTTCAGTTCATCCTCACCAGCATCTTGTGAGGTGTGTTATATTATCCCGCTGTATAGATGAGGAAATTGAGATTTTCAAGAGGAACAGCTTATGAACCCAGCTAGGAAGTACAATTTATACTCACATAACAGGGAGGAGATCGGTGTGTTCAAAGTGAATGGTTCAAAATTGTGAGAGAAGAAGTTATAGGGAAGTAAGTTGTGGCCAGTTCATTTTAAATACCATGTTATGGCTTCTAGAATAGATTTGGAGGCAGCAGGGACCCACAGAAGGATTTTGAGCAAGGGAGCGATTGTGGTACATTAGGAAACCTAATTCTGGCTGTAAAGAAATAAAATTCATGCAGAAGGAGGTTACTGTGAAACTGAAAGAAAGATAAAGGCAAGATTCACTGTGTTATTATTCCTAAAGGACTTGTGTCTATCAAAATGTTAATGATTTGTCCTTTCCTGATTTAGTCAGATACCCATATATAAAGGCTGGATCCTGGATGGCTTTCCAATGACATTAAACCAAGCGAAGCTTCTGGAGGAAGCACTCACAGGCTGCAACAGAAACCTCATAGAACTGGAGGGAAATAAATCACAAATGTCCACATTGGCTGTTGACCCTACAGCTTCCAGAGAAGTGCGTCTTCCCCCTTCTGCACTGGATTTTGTCATGTTATTAGATATTTCAGATAATTCCTCACTGAATCGCATGAATGACATCATGGGTAAGCTGGACACCTTTTTTAAAATATTCTTTTCTATAATTCAGAGCTCTTTCTTTTTCTTTGCCTGAAAGGGTGAATATTCCCATTTACAATTATAAGTGGATAATAAAGAATCCATTTAGGCTTCCAAAGAATTACCTAGTCCAGCACAGTTGCCTCCTGGGGCTCCGTCAGTGTTCAGCACTATAGCCCAAGCCTGGAGCTCGTGGAGAATTCCATGCCAACTACAAGCATCTCATTCAACCCTTCCATCAACTTGGCAGCTCCCCTGGCAGAGAGGCGCCCTCCTTTTCGAGGCTTGCATACGCGGAGGAGCTTCCTGTAGCTACCTAGTACATCCTGGTGTGCCACCCAGATGAAACTCATGAACCACACTGGTGCTGCAGGCAAGCATCTGGTAACATCCTTCCCTTGGATTGCGTGTTAACTGAGGAGCAAGTATCCGTTGGCTGCAGTCCTTCCACACTGGGGTCAGATAGTCTTGCCAAGATTCATGGTTTATTTAACTACTTCTCATTGTTGAAATGAAAATATTACTTTATTCCACAAATTCAGTGGTTATGGGTAAAAGCACATATTCTTGAACCCTGGCTTTCCAGGTTATTAGGCATTTGACCTTGGGAAAGGTACTTCATCCTTCTAAACCTCCATTTCGCATCCTATATAATAGAATGCTTCATTGTATTGTTTTGGATATTAAAGGAAAACTGCTTCTTTACTCACAACACTTCTGACACCAAAGGTGTGTGGGTTTTCCATACCACCCTGTTCTCCAGTTCTTGAAAAACACCCACTGGGGGTCCTATAATTTAGGCTAATTCTGGCACTAACTCCCCAGGGTTATCACAGGTTTTCACAGGTTAAGGGCTCAGTCCCACAAGACTTCTCCCCACTTCAGATGCCAGTCTCAAGTAGTGGATCCCCAGGTTACCCACACTCCTGTCTGACTTGACTACAAGTTGGGGGTTTCCATGACCCCTCCTCAGGTCTGATAATTTTCTATAATGACTCACAGAACTCAAGGAAACACTTTACTTACTATTACCGTTTTATTATAAAGAATGCCATAAAGGATACAAATGAGCAGCCAGATGAAGAGGTACATAGTGCAAGGTCTGGAAGAGTCCCAGGCTCAGGAGCTTCTATCCTCATGGAGTTTCGGGGGTTGCTACACTCCTGGCACGTGGATGCATTCACCAACCCACAAGCTCTCTGAATCCCTTCTTTAGAGTTTTTATGGGGGTTCCATTATGTAGGCATGACTGACTAAATCATTGAGCATTGGTGATCAGTCTCTAGCCCCTTCCCCTCCTTAGAGATCAGGGGGTAAGACTGAAAGTTCTAGCCCTCGAGTCACTTGGTTTCTCAGGCAACAGGTCCTACCATCCAAGAGTCACCTCTTTGACATAAACTCAGATAAAGTTGAAAGGGGTATATTATGAATAAAAATAAATGCTCCTTTTACCTCTATCACTCAGGAAATTACAAGGGTTTTCAGAGCTCTGTGTCAGGAGCAAAAGTCCAAATATATATTTCTTATTATATCACAATATCACAGGCATTAAATGAGATAAATGTTAAACATTTAGGATAGAATCTGGTACATGATACTAGGCACACAGTATCCACTAGGAAAAATAGTGGAAGACTTTGAAATGAACAAAAGATTATTGGATACCCTTTCAATAGAAGGTTGAGGACTGTCTTTTGGACCCTGAGGAGTGTCTGGTTTCAGAGGGGTCTATGCCTTTCATTGGCTTTGACTCAGCTCTTCTGTAACTATAAATTGTAGGAGACTTAATAGTAATTCAAATGATTCTGGTTCATGAACATGCAGATGAATTTGATTTAATTAAGATAAAATTAATTTCTATACTTTGAAAAGATGATTCCAAATATTACATTGCTGTATACATAGTAACCAGTCTTTCATCTATTACCATCTATTTCAGTATTCCTGACTACCTGTAAATAGGTCTGTTATTCAGACTGTCATTTGTACTAGTTGTAACATCACATCTTACTGGTTCCCTCATTACTTGAAAATTTAGATGATGTCATTTTACATTTGTTTGAGTGTCTTGATTTTACCTTTTTAAAAAACTGCCCTTTAACAAGTGGTAACATCATTCTTTCATTATTGCTGTTACTACTAACACAATGACATTCGGAGCTAGGAGAGACTTAGGGGATCATCTATTCCAGTGCCTTTATTTATAGGTGGAAATTTAAAGCGTGAGCACTTGACTCATCCAGGGCCACACTCTTCCTTATTTTGAGTTTGTAACATCTTGAGGTCTTCCTTTCATTGTTTACTTAAATAAAATGACAAAGCCATTAGATATGACTTCAGCTGTTGAGCCCAGTAGTTTAAACTGGATGCTGTCCATCAGATCTCAAAAGGGAGAATTTACTTCTCTCCATACAAGGGAGCTATGCTGACAGTAGTGATGATTCCGCTTGTTCAGCCAAGTTCTCATCCCTGTTCAGGATCATCTGACGGTTGGCAAAGAATACTGCCAATCCATGGCCAACTACTGACGGAATAAGGCCCTGAACTCAAATCAGTCTGACTTGCTTTCAAGATATGACGAGTTATTAAGTACACACAAAGACCTGTGGGTGAGATGGTCCCTGAGAGCTGATTATAATCCTACAAGGGCCTTAGAAGTTTTGCCTACCCTCTTGAGGATCCCTAGGAAGCATTTGTTGTGTGTTTCAAAAAATAGAAGGAAACCAATTGGCACAAATTTTTCAAGAAATCTACTCAATCCAGTGTGAGTTCTTTCAATTCCCTATCAAAATCACATGACAAATGGTTCTGGAAAATTTATCAAAGCTGATGTTAGCATCTAACTAGTTTAATTTCTTAATTCTAGACCACTTACTTATAACTAGGCTCAGAATTGCCCTTTATTCACTACGACAGGGAGAATTTTTTTTGTCAAGTTTTTTGTACATATACACATAAATAATCTTATTTATCTACCCTCAGAACTTAGTGTTAAAGCACTATTAATTTTTTTATTTTTATATGTATTTCTAATCATATATATTCTAGGTCTGAAGTGAACTGAGCCAACTACTAGATTAGGTTCTTCTAAATCACAAAAACTAGTATGAAATCATTGAGTTTATAGTTCTTACATGTTTTGGTCAGGAATGAGTAGGCTAAATATGTCCACAACTTTGAAAATCTATCTGCAGCTTTTATGTTCAAGTATTTTAAGTTAAGATAAAGTGTGACTCTTACATAGCTTAAGGTTTTTCTTTTTTAGAATATAAGATTGGAATGGCCATTGAAAGATCACTTTGCCAGTTTGCTCTCCTCATCTTAAGCAAGACCCCACCTGAACTCTTTTGGACAGATGAAATTCTATCCTTCAAAAATATCTTGTTCATTCACATATTCACTTATTATTTATTGCGTGCTTGCTGAATGCCAGACACTGTGATTGGCACCGGTGATTCTGTAATAAAGAAGAAATGGATCCTGCCTTCAAAGAATTTAGTGGAAATTGTAGCTAAGGGACCAAGGAGTTATAGCATTGAGTTGTACTTCCAACACGGCAGCCAATAGCCACAGGTGTTATTTAAATGATTTAAAATTAAAAATTCAGTTCCTCAGTCACACTGACCACATTTCATATACATATGTGACTAGTGGCTATCATACTGGACAGCACTGATGCAGAACATTTTCATCATCTCAGAAAGATCTGTCTTATCAGATAACACTGTTATAGAGTGATGGGAGCTAAAAGGGTGCCACTAGTAAATATTTATCTAACATTTATAACATGCCAGGAACTGACAGTACAGAAATGAAGGGCAAGTCCCTGTCCTCGAGTCGTTGACAATGTAGTGGGAGAAGAAACAAAAGCAAGCTGATTATTAGAATATAGTCACTTCTATGCTATACTAGGTGAGCCCAGCGTGGGAAGAGATTTACCAGACCAAGACAGGGCGGAAGGGCGAGGGAATCGGCAAGCAGGGTCCGTCTAGAGAACAGCAAGTTTATCGTTAGGACTGAGAGGCAGCAGGATGTGGACGAGTGACAGAAATGAGCCTGGAGGGTAGGCAGGGGCCAGCTGAAAAGTCTTGCCCCAAGTTAAAGTGTTTGAACTTTATCCTGAAGCCATGTGAGGTCACCAAATTCTATTAAAGCTGATTTAATGCAATTCAATATGCTTTTCGTAATGGTCATTCTAGCTGCAGTGTGGAGGATGCATTGGAAGGGGAGTGAGACTGGAAACAATGAAATGAGTTATAAAACCATCACCATCTGAAAAGCAACAAAGGCATTAAGACAGCTAGAGAGGCAAGGTAAAAAGAGTCAGCTTCAGGTGCTATTTAGGGGGAAACTGTAGAACTTACTGATCAGTGGGGATGGGGGCGTTCATTTTGTTGTGAATTTACTGCAGGCAGAACAAGGTGACTTCAAGTTGTTGACTGGAACAATTTTTTGAATGATAATACCATTCACTTAGACAATATGGAAAGAAACACAAGAGTCTCTTTAGGGACATGTTGAACTTGAAGTACCTGGTACCTATGGGACTTTTAAGCTAAGATGTTCAGAGGGCAGTTCTATAAATGGGTCTCGATGTCAGGAGGGAAGTGTGTACTAAAGTTAAGGGCTTGAAGGTAAGACAAATCATCTAGGAAGAAAAGTGTATTTTAAAAAATACCCAGGATGACAGCCAAGACAGCTAGTGGGGAGAGCACAGGAAGAGGTGTTTAGAAGCAGCAGCTAGAGAGAAAGGAAGAAATCCAGGGAGAGTAATGTCATATAAGCCAAAGGAGGACAGATTTTCAAAATAAAGGTGTTATTCTCTCCTCCTCCCAGACCAGTGGGCTGAGGTCCTGAGGCCTGGGCTAGGGTGTGGGAGCCTAGTCACCAGCATTGCCTGCAGCATGGCCCTGCAAAGCTTGGGGTCCGTGGGGAAGCCTGAAGGATGTCATCACAGGGAAGCAGCCTTCATGCAGCCAAAGCCAAGCTGACTCAAAGACTGAACATCAGTCCTGCCAGGGCTGGGCAGAGAGGAGTGGCCCAGACTCAAAGCCAACTGGTAGGAGACCAGGAGACCTAAGGAGAAGGTTCAGCCAATGTGGGAGCATAAGCTTTTGTCAGAAGGGAAGAGTACATGGCTGCCTGGGTTTTTAGCCAGTGCCTTGGGCCATTGGTCAGCCTGAGAGGGAACAGTGGTGTTCATAATATGGGGAGAGGTACTGAGAGGCTTTGAGTGCAGGCTCTGGATGGATAACTTTAGTCACTTATAGTGACTGAAAAGAAATATGAGGGGGCTTCTAGGGCTGATAATGTTTGTTTCTTGATCTGGGTGCTGTTTTCAGTTTGGGAAGTCATTGAGCTGTATAATCATGTATGCATTCTTTTTGGCAGGTATAGTTCAAGAAATCGTTTAAAAATTAAAAAGAAGTTCAGGACTTGGAATTAGATTGACTGGAATCAAATCCTTTCTCTGTCATTTATGAACTATGCCATGGGACATGAACATGCTATGGGACAATTTTAGAATCACGATCCTACTTCACAAGTTTTGTTGTGAATATAAAATAATGTAATACAGTCTTCCCTCAGCATTCATAGGGGATTAATTCCAGAGCCCCCTCAGATACCAAAATCCAAGGATGCTTAAGTCCCTTATATAAAACGGTGTGATATTTGCACTGAACCTATGCATATCCTCCCATATACCTTAAGTCATCTCTAGATTACTTATAATACTTAATTTCCTCTTTTTCTATCATGAATGTAAAGGGAGAACAATCGATTGCTATATCCTGTGAAGGTCCTTCATTTTCTTGAACACTATTAATTCGCTCTTCAATGTTCTCTTGCATTGACTGAGTAATCTAATTCCTTTTACTCTAGTTCAAGGCTTTTTTTCCTCTTTATGATTTTCCATTTATTCTGAATTCATGAGTATTCTGGACTTTGTACCTTAATCCTGAATAGGACTCAATCAGAGAAGTTGAGATCGTTTTTGGTTTTGGTCTCTTGTCGTATATTCCTTTATGTCTCTTCTAGAAAAATCATAAAGTTTAGAAAGAAAGATAAATCGCTTTATTGTACTGTAATATAATATCCACGAATAAGTTGCATATTTGACTTTATGGCCACCCTGCTGTTTCATTCTTAGCTTTTACAGCATGGTGTTGATTTTCTAATTGTTTCCTTATTTGTTATTCATGACAAACCATCATTTTTTATTCTCATCTCTTCAAGGTCAGTCCCAAGACACTCTACCTTAAAACTACAGCTCCTCTTTAATGTTGTGTTTTACCTCCTTTCCCCCAATTTCCAAGGGAAATTTGAATGCTGATCCCAAAACTATACTTTTTCAACATTTTGTTAAACATTTTAATTAATATTGGACCAAAGGCAGGACCATGTCTATTTGACTTTCTTGTATCAGTACCTTTTAGCAGTGCTACTGCAACTTTGACTGCTTTAGCAAATTGTCTAATTAAGTAATTTCCATAACATAGCTGAAGCATTTTCAAGTGAAACTCCTCATGAAGATATCAATCAACGTGTAGCTGCTAAAAACCAAGATGTGGATGAAGACCAGAATTTAAGAGATCAAATACAGCATAGGTTAGTTTAAAACTGAATGTCTTGCTTCTTGTTTCTTACCCTTTGAACAGACTGACAACTAGTCACCTTGGAATCATCAGATCTAGAAAATAAATGTATTTCTTAGCATTCAGTCTTTTACAGGTAAAACAAAACTAAGTAGCTTTGATGTTGAGTGAAATATTTATGTGTTAGCTTTTATATTCAGAGCACAAGTCATCATAGTCTGGGAAGAAAAGAATTAAATCAGGCAACATTTCCCTTTATGGCTACATGAACTTACAAGTTCATTATATGGAATCCTAATTCAGCCCTCATTCAGCAAATGCCAATGAAGATCGTGGAATGTCAAAGAGCTAGGCATCAGACTATAGAGTGTAATTCTAAAACCACTTTTGTGTTACTAAAATGAAGTTATGCTTCAAAAACCTTCTTTCAATCGTATGCAATTTGCTCATTGGAAAAAAAATTAGACAATTTTTTGAAACCTTGAGAACTCTAAAAATATGAAGTGAACCAGGGAAGAGGAATTTGAGCTACATTAAGCCTGTCTACTCTTGGAAGACAAGGCTGTTTCAAAAATCATTCCAAGGGTATATTTGAGTAAAGCAAATAAGTCAGAACCATCTATATTTACTCAAAGGTCTCTTTAACTTCTTTAAGAAAAAGTAGATGACCTATGTGGCCCAGGCTGTAGCTACCATCAGAAGGGTGTTCAGAGTTTAGTCTGCTATGAGTATAGGTGATGTTTCCTTAGATCTTCACTTAGAGACGTGAACCCACACTAAAGGTTTCCTGAAATGATAGAATTGCCAAATCTTCTTCTCCTCATTCATATACCTCAAAATATATGGCTAGACACCATTAAATGATTTCCTCTTTAAAGTGGATAGTATTTCATTGCCTGTAGATTTCTTAAAGTTGCTTTTTCAGATTTTTTTGGGCAGCTTATTTTTTCATTACATTCATCAGATGAATCATGCTTAATGTTACTCTAATCTTTCAGTCAATATGCTATATTCATAGAACATTTGGGTTTTGCAGAATTGTAGGCTTCTTGGACAACTGGCCTTTATTGGAGCAATGGTTTACAGAGCCAGAAAACATTTTGATAAAAATGAATGCTGACATAGATAAGCAGTCTTTGTGCCAAAAAGTAAAGGAAACGTTTATGACTGAAATAATGAAAAAAGAGAATAAAGGTAATTACAGTTCTTTATAATTTTGAGCTTACATAACGAAAATGTGTGGTTTTAATGAATTTAGGAGGAAGTGAAAATGCGATTGCAAATTTCTCTCTTCTCTTTGGATCATACCATCTATAAGTATCTTCTACCTCTGATTTTAGCTTTCCACTGCAAATGTTTCTACATCAAAGATTTTTCTTTCTTCATTTTAATTTAATTTAATCAAAAGAGGTCATCTTGCTGAAAGGTTGTTTTCAGGTGAAAAAAATAGCAGAGTTAAATTAAGGATGTTATAGAGAAGGATGTTATAGGATGTTATAGATTTCAATCTGTTGACCTCAGCATTATAAGGAAACAATGAGTGAATTATCCTTTTAGGATGAAAACACTAGGCAGATTATTCCCCCCAAATCTTTTTGTGTTTGTATGAATTTACTGACTATTAACTACTTATTTATAAGCCTGCTCCTGGGTGCATCTCACCTACATTAAACCATCCCGACCTCCCTCCTCCTTCATTCAACCAATAGTAATTGCCCATTAACTTTTCACAGTATTATTGGAATTTGTTATTGAAAGGAATTTTAGTCTCATACACTGCCAATGCCAGACTTCAATGGAGATCTTACCTTTGAGAAATGAATTCAGAAATAAATCTTTCCCTTTTGTTTATCAATCACCCCTCACTCTATTGACAACTGCAATTTCTTGGTATAATAAAAAATGGTCAAAATTAATAATATCACAAGGATTCTAAAACTGCCTTGGTAGCATGCTGTCTCCCATCCCTAGATTTATGACCTAACTACTATAATGTATCGGTGAACTGACACCAAAATAGTGCATAGATATAAGCCACAGTCACCTTGGGGACCCAGGAGCTCACACTTAGGAAGACAAGCACCCACATCGAAATGTCCGCTCCCCAAAAACACCCATGTGAAGCTTCCAGACAAAACAAAAATCAACCCATATATTATATAAGAGGCTTAACATGTTATTTAACACTCAGAAATTAGGCTGAGAGGAGGGAGGAAACCTCTAGGGTCTTGATTAGGAGGCAAAAGCAAACCGATTCTAGGCTGTAGCTTCAAACATCTACCAATTAGAATCAGTGTTTTTGCCAGCTATCAGACTCACTTCAACATTTTCCTAAAGATTTTACATTCTGATCACTTATTACATTAACAGACTCTACTGCCACTTATTTAGATTTACATTCCAATCAGTTAATTATTTTTAATAAATATTATGTCATTAAAATAATAAACATTTACCTAGCCCAGTGCTCTGTATTAAACATCCTGATTAAGCTAAAAACAAAAAATAAAAGGATATGGTACTTCTATAAATATTCTGCTGTTTAAAAATGATCATAATATACTATTAAGTAGGGGAAATCAGGTTATATTTAAATAGTCCCTTTTTTGTTTTTAAAAGTATGTCTATTATTAAATATGTAGGCACAGAAAAGAGTCTGACAATATATGCTAAGAAAAAACAAAATTCAACCCAGTAAATTCAAAGCTCTAACTGGTTTTGTTCAACTATTCGTGAACTGGGCAGCATCCCATCTAACAACTAGAAGGGCACTCCGTGGAACAGTACGAATGGAAGGCTTTTTTAGATAGGAGGGTGGGGCAGGGAAGTCATTAGCAAAAGGGGGGAAAAAAAGGGTTATTTGGGGCCAGGACATCTTCTTTTTGGAGGAAGGGAACTGCAGGGGTCTTTACCATGCAGATTGCCTCTTCTTTGAGGGGCTGGGGATATATAGAGAGGACCCACATGACAGATCACCTCATTAGCGCTGACCAGAAAATTCCAAGCTGGTTGATTAAAATTACATTTCTGAAGAAGGTAGAAACCGCAACTGAGGCAGCTAGTAAGTCTAGGTTTGGTATCGTGGGCTTTATTTAGCACAAGTGATGCCATTTGGGGCCTGTGGTTTTCTCTTTAGCCGTACAATCCTTGATGAGGGAGAAGGATGACAAGAGTCAACAGGAAATTTCTCTTTCTGCTTATTTGTCTAAATTGTGGGAATTTTTAAAACAATAATTATATATCACTTTTATAATCAGAAAAAAAATCCAGTTTGAAAAAAAAAATCTAATAGAATGAAGCCTCCTTGCCTTGCTGAATTGAAAAGAATAATCTGAGGGCAAAGGGAGTATGGATATAAAAGCCATACATGGGGCTTCCCTGGTGGCGCAGTGGTTGAGAGTCCACCTGCCAATGCAGGGGACACGGGTTCGTGCCCCGGTCCGGGAAGATCCCACATGCCGCGGAGCAGCTGGGCCCGTGAGCCATGGCCGCTGAGCCTGTGCTCCGCAACGGGAGAGGCCACAGCAGTGAGAGGCCCGCGTACCGCAAAAAAAAAAAAAAAAAAAGCCATACATGGGTGCAGTTATTCACTGCCCCTGCTACAGGGGTAAAGTTGCGGCCGTTTCCAGGGTGGAGGGTTGGGAAGTCAGGAAGGGTGGGGAGGGCATGCTGGGAAGGGTGAGCCTGAATCCCGAAAGGCAAAGGGCCATAACAACGATAGGAGCCTAGACCTTCGGGAACCAGCCCTGCTCCGCCCCTCAAGCCCCTCGGGCTGACTGTCTGCTCTGCCTGGAGCACACATTCCCTGAACCTGTTCAAGTCTTTTCTCAGATGCCACCTTCTCAGCGGGTCTACCCTGCAAAGCACTCTGGTTAAATACACTTTAAGAGCTGCCCCACAGCACTCCTGACCCCCTTTACTCTGTCCTATTTAGCTTCACAAGGCAGTGATTTTTCTCTTTTGTTTTACTTTTGTATCTCTGGCAACCACAACTGTGCCTAGCATTGTTCGTATTATTATTATTACTGACAGTACTAGTGTAGTTTTACCTTATTGTTATAACCCTTCCTTTTCTTCACGGCACAACTCAGATTCAATAAGTAGTTGCTGCATGAAAGAATGAAATGCTAAGACTTAGTTGTGTACTGAGCACCGTTCTAAATGCTTCATATGTATTTACCCCTAGATGTCGGTGCTGCACATTTCTTTTCCCTTCCGTGTCCTTCCGACATCTTCTCTTTGTGCTTTATCACCTTGCTTTTCCCCTGGAAATTTTGACATAATTATTTATTTTTCTATCGCAACACACCAGCTACTTCTAGATTGTTGGTTTGACACATGGCACAACAAGCCTTCCCACCTGATACACACACACACACACACACACACACACACACACACACATCATCATCATCATCATCCCCATCAGAGGCAGGGTAAACGGTATTTCTAACCAGGCAGAGAAGACTTCAAATCTTAGTTTTAAGGACTGAATGATTTAAAGGGGATCCCTAAAACATGAAGTTCGCCCTAATTCATTAAGAGCAGTTTTATATTAATTTAGGTTTATCTTAGTTCAAGTGAAATAGTAGGTGTCTGGAGCCGCTAATAAAAGTCCATTCTTATCATCCTTTTGAAGTGAAAAAGAAATTAGAAGAAAAGGAAGCTGAGGAAAAAGAAGAAGTTTCCCCAACTGAGGCTACATCACCTCTCCCCCCTCCTCCTGAACCAGAAAAAGAGAAGGAAGTCCACGGTCAGCGTGAGCGTTCCAAAACTCCTGCTGCAAAAGGAAAACCAGCATCAGGTGATTGACAGAACGATTTCTAATCCTGTTTGCCAGTTTCTCATTTTCATTTTAGAAAAGAATTATAAATTATAGTACCAGTCCATTTATCTAGATTCAGGCTTTGAGCAACTTCAGTCATATGAAGGCAAGCTGTCTGCTCTGATGAAGAGGAAAAGCAGTAGTCACTGAGAGCACGGCTGTCACAAAGCGGAGGTACTTTACTGTGTGGGAAGGAATGTGGAGTCCTCACACCCAGATCTACTGATTAGAATAAGACCACAGATGAGAGGAGGGAAGGCGCAGAGAATACCAGAAGGAGCTTAGAGCAGATCAAGAGGACAGACGTCTATTTGCAGAGTGATAGAGTTGTGTTTATGTAAAAAGCAAGACCATCTTCAGAAAATGAGAGTTAGCACAACCTGTTGTCCACAGGAATAAGGAAACATACCAACAGCATTCTTTAGAGACTAAAATTTATACGCAACTGTCACTCTTCAGTGTTATGTGATTATAAAAGGGTAGAAACAAGCACCTGACATCTCAGTAAACTTGTATATTTATAATACATAACATACATGAATAGAGTTTGTATAGAGAATATTTTTTAGCTTAAACCACTAAGGACCATTAAGTTACGTGGTAGACAATATAATGACAAAAGTAAAATCCTCAATTGTTGAAATGTGTGATATTGGGAGAATGCCAGGATCAGTTTGGTGCTGTGTGTATGAAACAAATGTGGCTCTAGTAGCTGGTTTTAGCTTTGTAAGTAGCTGGCTGTGCAGTTACACAAGTCTACCTAGGTATTCTTGATATTGTGTCATGATTGCATTTCTAAACTCCATAATATTTCTACTTCGTGGAGATTTGAGATGGGTCTGATTTTTTTAATTAGATTTATTTATATTAAACAAATTCATTTGAAAACTTTAATAACATATATTATGGTCTATTAAAGACCGTTGTACTTCAATAAAATGGGGCTTAACTAAAGGTAAAATATGCAAATTCTAAAAAAAATATTTTATCATATGAAACAATAAAGCACAAAGCAATTAATTAACCATACATACTTTCCCCGTTAGAAAAACAAAGCAGTGGTCTGAAGGACAAATGGAAACCTTAAAAATGCTGTTTAGCCAGGGAAGACAGTTTCCACAGAGGCTCAAGGGAGCCTGGAGCTACCCATCTAGGCCTTTAACCTATGGCCGTGGCCTCCCCTCCCTTTCCTCCCCTCGGCCTCACAGTCAGGAGTATCTGTGGATTGGAGCCATTCCCTGAAACCCATCTTCAGCATTTCTGGTTACAACACGGTTCAGTCTTTAAATTTCTTAAGTTTGCTCGTGACATTAAATAAAATTGTATACTTGAATACAGTGCATTGGATGAATAATAAAGCTATTGTTGCTTCAAAGAGTGGTTGTATCTGTCTCTTTTTTCCACCAAGGGCCGGGTTAGTGCCTGATCTTTAAAAATATATAGAAGAATTAATCCCCAGGGGCCCAGTTACTGCCTTCCAACTGCAACGCATCATTGCGAGGAGATCTCAGTGCTAGTAGACGTTGATGAGGCAATAGCACAGGCTGCGCTGCCCTTACAGCTCAGGGAAGCTGGGATAAATGATTTTAGGAAGGGAAGTTCCCAGGTTTGTTTATTTTTATATAAATAACTTACAGTTTTTTTCAAAAGAACATACTTGCAGAACTAAAAGCCTAAGGCTTCTGAACAAGCCCAAAGCAAACATCCAATTACAATCTTCTTTAAAAGTTGAGAAGAAAAGAGAAATTATTTACTTAAAAAAAAAAGGGTGGAAATAGGGTAAAGAAGGAAGCATAGTACACTAAGTACTAAAAGTCATTTTGTCCAAATATAGTTCTACATTGTATATGAGTCTGTTGGCCTGAAACAAATAGACTGCCAGATATTTCTCCAGCAAAGATGGGTTTATTCAGAATTAGCAGGAAATTATAATTCGGGGTCTGCAACCATGGCAAGCCATGTGCAGGTCTCTGCATGACAAGAGAAGGAGAATGCTTCTATAGAGGGGAAAAGGAAGTTGGGAGGGCCATAGTACTTGATGAGTCCATGGCTTTTCATTGGCTGAGTCCTTGCCAGGAAAGAAGAGGAGTCGTCCTTCCTCCTGTTGGGCAATGCTGTCCTCTTAGGGCATGAGAGCTCCCCCTTCTGGTTTCCTGACTCTATTTATTTGTGCTTTCTGTTTATTAATTTTTTACAGTTCTGTATTTTATATCTGCTTCAAATGCACTTGAGATTAAATTTGAAAAACTTCACAGGTATGTCCCATTAAAGGGTTTATTATCAAGTCTACTACCAAATGTCAGAATTTAATTTAAAACTCAAGCTCTGAGTGTGACAGAGTATGGTAGTGCTTGCTATCCATGATGCTAGGAATATATTTTGCAATTTCAGAATACATTTTGGAAATAATTTTTAAAAATAGGCAGAGTGCATGCTATCCCCAGCAGAAATTAGACTTGCTCACAATATTTTATAAGTTCAACATCTTAGGTGTCTCTATTTTTACCCTCTTTGCTGTTGTCTTTTGCTAAAGTTTAGAGCAATGGTTGGTTACCCAGAGTATTGTTATTAAAGGAACTAAGAGCTTATCTAGACTTTTTTTATTAAGCTTATTTCTAAGAAAAAAAAAGGAACTAATTCAAATGTTTGGATTTATTTATTTATTTATGAATGAGTTTGGTGTTCAACTATTTTGATGTTTAAAAGTCCTTTTATGGAGGTTAACAAAGTTTCAAGGTTAATCCTTCTTTCCTTGTCTTATTTCTATGGAATCTTGGTTTTTGGAGCTGAGATGTTTAAATGTAAGTGATATGAGTTATGTATTTACACATTCTTATAACTAACACTTCTAAATACAAAGATAGGTCAGATGATCTCTCCATCACAGCATTTAAATTGTCCCATATGTGCATTCTTCCAATGAAGGAAAAAAAAATCAAAACATAAAACTGTAGCCCAGGGCAAAGGGAGGAAGACGACTGAACTTGTTTGGTAAATTATGTGGGATGTAGTGATTTTTTCAAAGAACTAATTATTATTTGGGACATCTTATTGACCTCCAGTTCATCACTTTCCCATTTTCCCCTTTCCAATATATTTTTGAATTAGATTCCGGGGAACCCAGCATATGTATCCCAAACCATCCTTTGCATTACAAGTTACAGTCAATGCACAGCGGAATGTAGAAGTCACAAGGCAACCAAGTGTGGGGTCAATAGAAGTTCAAGGATGCTCCATAGCAAAGCAATGTGGTTATTTAACTCTTCTTCAAGGTGTCTTGGCATCATTCTTATCACAGACCCAGTTGTCTTATTGTATAGGGATCATTCCAGTGAACTATATCCAAATAGAGCCATCTGCTTCAAATGGACTTGTGACTAACTTTTAAGATTCTGCAACTATGTTGCACTAAAGAGTTTACAATCAAATTCACTACCAAATGTTGATATTAAGCTTAGGACTCAACTTCTCAATGTCACAAAATAGAATAGTACTATCAGGGTTGTCATTCAAGAAATTTCAATCCATAGTCTGTCTTCAGATTAATTTTAACTCACAGTAAAGGCCTAAGCCATTTTAGGCAGTTCACAAATATAACTGTTTTTGAGAAATAGCATTTGATTGCTTACAAATCATAGCCCAGGATATTGAAGAAAATCATCAATGATAATTATGTGTTGAATTTTGTTTAGAACCCCCGCATGGTAATCGAGAACCTCTTCAGGAAGGAAAAGGGAAGAAAAGTGAAACTTTACTCCAAAGAAAAGGTACAGATCAAGATAGATATGATTAAATATAATTCTGCATTTTATAATTTTCAGTGAAAATAGCTATATTTATGTAGTAGTATACACTGAATACCTCTCTCAGGCATTTGTAAACCATAAGCCCTTGCCAATGAAACAGAACCTCAGTGTTTCTGTAGCCTGGGTCTTAGCAGAGGTCCTGCTAAGAAAAGTGATGCTTGTGAGGAATCATTTAGAGAATATCTAAGATACAGAATATCCATTCATCATAGACATTATAGGTGTTATCCTTGGGCTAAGCTATGCCATCAGAAAACTACATGCTGAACCATATTTTCTTGGGTCCCCCATAGAATTGCTTTCACTGATAAGCACTTTGATATAAAGTCCTCAACACAATAGCAGTGGAGCTAAAACATTTATTATATCAACAATAACCTGGTATTTTATTTTCTGAAGAGATAGTATGCCCACTACATCATTCAGTCACCCCTATGTGAAATCCTAGGTGGGAAATTTCATTCAGAATCAAAGAACTGGAAAATCTTTCTTCCTCTGCATGGCTAGATAGTTAGCACCTCTAAATGATAGCACTTCCTTTTCTGTTTTGGCTGTCTAGAAGTACAGAAACAAATTCGTGCCTATAAGATTTTAGTACCTGCGCAAGGACCTAGATCCCAGAGTGTGCTTTCTAATTCCTCTCCTGGTTTTGACCTTCTACTTTAAGTTGCATTTTTCCTGACCCTAATTTCTTTTTTTTTTTCTATTTTATTTTAACTATTTCTGTGAAATAAGGAGGATAAAATTTTATAAATAATTGATAGTTGGTAGAAGAAAATAGGCTTTAAAAAGCATATTAGTTAGATTGTACATTGAAGCTGCTACACCAACCAATGAAAGATTGAAATGCAGTTATGGACACATACAGTTGTCTTTTGCAGGGTACGTACAAAGGGGGTTGTCATGAAGTATGTACCTTTGTTTAATTTTTCATTACAAATTGCTAGTGTAGTAGCAGCCCAAGACTGTGCCATGTTCACAAAATGATGGGCTTAAAAGGATCTTGATTTTGGCATTTAAAGATGCATAACCATGATTCTCAAAGAATCTTACCCTTCTCTGATTATATGACCTGACAGGCATATATAACTAGAGTCATTGGTGAGTTAACACTGAGATGAAAAATTTACCTATAATTTTGGCTATAATTTATGCTCTGCTCTATCTCACCTGTTTACAAA